TACATAAGTTTGCAATGGATAATTTTTAATACAATTCTACATGGGTTTGCAATGGTTAATTTTTCATAGGATTCTACATGAGTTTGCAATGGTTAATTTTTCATAGGATTCTACATAGGTTTGCAATGGGTACGATTCTACATGGGTTTGCAATGGTTAATTTTGCCTAGGATTCTACATGGGTTTGCAATGATTAATTTTTCATAGGATTCTACATGGGTTTGCAATAGGATAGGATTCTACATGGGTTTGCAATGGATAATTTTTGTTAATGGCGTGCCCTTAACTGGTCGCCTTTTTTTACCTTTTTTTAAAGGTGAGTTTTTAGAGATAACTTATACGGGAATAGTGTAATCATCGATTTATTTTATTCGTTTTTATTTATTTTGCAGTTATAGTAGATACGAGCTTACCTCTCGAGATGACGGATATTTCAAGTTGGAATTTTATGGAGAATATCATTTCTCAATACAAGAATACCCGATTCGCTGGATATGACGAAAATATAGAAAAAATGTTTTCTAAGAGGTAACTCTCTTTTTGTTTATAAATATTTTGTAACTTTTTTCAATAATCTATCACGCGCAAAATATTAGGAGACGCGGTAGCGTTTCGCTAAGTTATATCTTTTATTCGTCAAATTAAAATACAATTTACAAAAAAACCAAAAAAAACATTGCAAGATATCAAAAGATAGCAAAAATACCGAAACAATAACGAAAATTATCCGTAAGACGCTACTGTGTATCCTTTACCGGACGTAACACGATTTTCGTAACCTTGAAAGCAAAAATTTAAAATATTTTATGAACTGGAACATATTTTTGAAAAGATGACCATATCAATCGAAAACGCGATTTTTTTCTAGTAAAATGAGACACTAACGAACTTGATAGTTCTATTGTCTCTCTCTCTCTCTTTCTTCCTCCACCTCTGCCTTTATATTTATAATAATATTACAATCACTTTAGAATTTGACCTCGCACAAAATGTTAAAGAGCTGAATTTTGGTGCAAACCTTCGTTTTTGCATAAGATTGGAAAGGAAAAAAATTACCATTATTATATAGTGGTCGTTAAGAAGAAAAATTAAACAATTAGGACTCAAATTTTGTCTTTTGCAAATATCTAGTTGAATATCAATTTTTCAAAAAAAAAAAAAAAAAAAAAAAAAAAATACAAAAGTACAAAATTAAAGAATGGATAATTTTGCATAAAAAATGTTATCTATAAGTCTTTCATACAAGTAATACTTTTTATGTAAATAATTTTGCAAGACGTACGCTGCGCGGTGTATTCACGAAGCCTGCTGACAGACGTTATGTGGATTGAAGCGTTACACGCGCGCACAAAAATGTCATAAGTTTTGAACGAATACAGAAATGAGTGAAGAGTCATTGAGAAGCCAGAGATTTCAATTTTTTAATGTAACTTTTTGTTATACTACGCTAATACTTAAAAATTTTACGATAGTTTAAACAAAATGTTACATGTAATGTTTGTCTTCTCTCATTTAATTAGTAACAGATAGTCTTAGAATTTTTTGAAAATTTATCATAAAATAACAAAACAAATTACATTAAAAAGCTGAAATTCCCAGATTTTCAACGGTTCTTTTTTAATTACTGTTTGCTAATTTGTTCAAAAGTTATGACATTTTTGTGCGCGCATGCAATATTTTAATCCACGTAACGTCCGTTGCCACGCTCCACCACGCTCTGTCAATTCACCGCACAATAAACAACTTGTAAATTTTTTAAGTAAAAAGTATAGCTTATACGAAAAAAGTTATAGATTACTTTATGCAAAATTGTCCATTCTTTAATTTTCTACTTTTGTATTTTTATTTAAAATGAATATATAACGAGATATTTGCAAAATAACAGAATTTGGGTACTAATTGTTTAATTTTATGTTTTAGCGGCCACTGTACAATGATAAACTTTTTTCTTTAATCTCATGCAAAGACAAAAGTCTGTACCAAATTTCAGTTTTCTAACATTTTTTCTGAGATATAGTTCAATTTTTATTTAAAGTAACTGTAGTATAATATTGTAGTATATTAGCTAACAAGTACGGGGGATCGTAAATCGGCCGAGAGTGCGGAAGTTTGGCGCACGATCGGCCGATTTATAACCCGCACATGGTGGCTACGATATTTTGTGTGACCGGTGCGTGGAAAGAGCATCCTTTCTAAAATCCCATCATGTGCGTAAAGGGCAACTTTTCGCGCGCCGGTTGCACAAAATATATTGAGAGTCACTATAAAAGCTACACGCATGCACATACATATGTAAGTACACAAGCATGTGCGCACGTAAGCATAGATATATGTTTACATATACATATTTTTTAATATTTCTTTTAATGAACTTTGCAAAAATATGTGAAATCCCATTAAAAAAGACATCACAGATGTAAAAAAGGGCTAAGTTATATCTTTTGCAAGCAACAAAAATTCTTTACAAAAAGTCGTAATCAAATATATATTATCTTCTTAAAAATTATGTTTATAGCCAAAATAATTCTTTGCAAAAATTAATCATCATCAAAAATATTTTCTCAAAAATTATATTTATAAATTATATTTTATTTTTGTTAATAATACTAAAAAAAAATTAAAATATTAATAGCATCAAAAAATAGTGAAATCAAAAATTTACACTAATTGTAAGTAAATGACAACATAATATATAATATTTAGATAAACTTTTTATAATGATACAAATGTATAATTATATTTTTTTATTTTAAAATGTTTATAATATATATATTAAAAAATAAATTCACTAAAAAATATATATTTATTTATTTTTCTTTAAATTTAATAACATGAATAATTATGTAATTAATTTAAACTGGAATGTATATACATTGTAAAGTTATTATATATTTTTATAAAATATTTAGATAAATACGTATATATAATAAAATAAATTATTTACCTCTAAATAATTTATTAATTATTTAATTTAAATACATTTAAACTTATATTCAGAAAAGGTAATATAAGGCACAAAAAATTAAATGTAGGAAATTAAAAAATTTAAAGTTAAATACAAATTTTAAATTTAAATTAAAAAATAAAAGTACAATATGTAATGTATAAAAAATACTTAGCGTTGTTTTTGTATTGTTATTTTAACACATTAGTAAATAAAATAAAATATAAATCAAAGTATTATTTTTTATTTTTTATATAACTTCTCGCACTCTTTCCTTTTTTTACATTTTGGTTTTTATTTTTCTATATATTTTAATAATATATTGTTTTATTTATTTATGTTCTATTTATTTATTTACATTACAGTTTTATTTTTCTCATACATACATAAAATTTCGACAAATTTATTGAAAAATTTATTGAAAATTTATTACTGTTGCAGTAGTATTTTATTACAAAATGTTTTGATTCAATTTTAGATGGCCGTCTGTAAGAAAACTTTATGACAAACAGTGTACAGAAATATTTAACAAGTACGGAAAAAAAATGAAAACTTTGTGAACACAGGCATAAATTATGTGATGCAATTACGGGAAATGGTGGATGATATAAAGAAAACATATTTTCAAGAGTCAAGTACTTCTGATCATAATCAGTATATTTGTCTAATTGATAATTTTATAGATTTTACATACATATTTGGTGTAAATAATTTAGAAAAATTATCTAAAATAACGGCTACGCCTGCACAATGCGCTTATGTCATAGATGAGCTTAAATACTTGCTTAAAAATACTCCACCGTACGATTTTCAATATCATTATATATATATACATAGTGCTATTAATTTTATAAATTAATGTACTTATTGCACAGTTAATATATCAATTTTTTTCAGAATTAATTGCGATCTAACCAAAAAATATTGCATTTTAAAAATATTTCGCCATTTAAAGCAAATTTCCGCGAAACAAGACTGGATAAAATATACAGAACAATTTCCTAAAACAGATATTTTGGAAAAAAGTGCTGCTGCTCTGGCACAATGGATTAAACCCGAAGAGGATGTACTTTATGAGTCCATAGAAACATCAATCGATAATATGGTTACGAATGTGCTGAATTCCCTCAAAAGAGAATATCCCTATCACTCGATACACTCGACAGACAATGAAACTTTTTTCCGTTGGAAAAATAACCATCTTATGGTCTTTGAAAATCATTGGAACGAAATAAAATCAATGGAGATTATGAATACAATTTATGAATATATATTTATCAAATTAAACTTTCAATTATGCGGCGAACACTCCGACATAAAATATTTATGTATAGATAATGTTAGTTTTATATATATAATTTTTTAATATATATTTAAATTAAAGGATCTAAAATATTTGCACTTTAATTAATTGCTGTATTTTGTGATTTTTGACGCAGGTCTTAGAAGCAAAATATGGCGAAGAAATAATTGTATTAATAATATGTAAAAGTGTGGCCAGAAGACTTGGTATAGATTGTATAGTAAGGAATGCAGCTATCGAAAATTGCAAGTTTGTTTTACTTTGGAAATCGTAAGTGTAATATTAGATTTGAAATTATCTATATTTTCTAGTATTACTCTTATTATATACATTCATGCATATATACATAATTTTTTATTGTTCGCAAAACCAGAAACCCAGGCCAAGAGAAGTGCTTTAACAAATTTTTGAAGAATATTCAATGGAGCCTTTTTTCTTGCTTTAATTTTAACAGTCAGCGTTTCACGAATTCTAAAAATTATTACAAAATTTTAGGACCTAAAGAGATAAAAATTACTATATCATACATATATAATTTCTATTACTTTTAACATTAATTTAATTAATATATTTGTAAAGATGTGAATCAATGAGACACGCTTTATACATAGGCTGAAATAGTTATACAATCTTATATTTTTTTGTTTGTAATTAAAGCTGTCTTTTTTAATTTTCACTTATTTTTAATTCTTTTTAGATATGGGAAGAGTTGATGAAAATATTTATAGAAAAAACAACAAGTTTCAATTATTGCCGATATTCTTTGTTAAATCTACATGAATCGAAAGAACTCCAAGTAATGGTATGTTAAACACTACACAGGATGATTCATGTAACGGTCGCCACGATTTTTGGGACTTTTCTGCCAGTTTAAAAGAAAGTTTATACAGTGAAACTTATTATGCTTTATGCAAGCTTTAACATGCAATAACAAATTTAAAAGAATTTTTTTTTATAAACAAATTAATGTCACTTTGAATTTTTTAAGAGGAACTATTATATTTTTACACAAATTGATTCCTCATAATATTCTGCATAAAAAATTATAAGGGTAGGGTAGTTAAAAAGTGAATAGTTTACGAGATATTTTATATTTTAATCTTATAAAGGTGGTTCTCGTAACAATTGCCACGATTTTTAGAGCACTTACAATATTCTGACAAAAAACGTCATTAATCAAAAATTTATCAATTTGTAACCGTCAATAAATTTAACAATTATTTAATGATTGCATGCAATGTTACTTTATGTTACATTTTAATTCAAAATTAATAATGTGATATATCTATTTCTGCAATGACTGCTCGAGAAAAAGTATGCGGATTAACTTCAAAATTCGTCAGTATTAACACAGCGTTGTTATCATTAGTAACTGGCCTAGTACGATTGACACGTTTTCCAGATGGAAACGTGCCATGTAAACGTAAAGAACACTCACAATCAGTATTATAAAAACTTTTCGCAGAAGGATGAGCCTTATCTAGATATCATTCTCTGTACAAAGCCACTGCATTGTGTGCATTTATTTTACACTCGCCAAATACTAGTAACGTATCTACTTTTTCCGTATTACAATAGTGATTCATTATATCAGGTTTTAGACACACTAAATTGATACTAGATAAACTGATACTTAAAAATTTCCTGATCAGATTAATAGCTAAGCTACATGGTAACATAAGGACAAAGTCGAGTCTGTTTATTACTATTTATGTTTTTAAAGAACTTCCTCGATAGCAATGAATTACGCTGTAGAAGCTTTAAAATTGTTAATTTTTAATTGATATGTAACATAAAGTAAAATTGTATGCAATAATTTAATTATTGTTAAATTTGTTGACGGTTACAAATTGGTAAATTTCTGATTAATGACATTTTTGGTCAGATTATTGTAAATGCCCTAAAAATCGTGGCGATTGTTACGAGGACCACCTTTATAACATTAAAATATAAAATATATTGTAAACTATTCACTTTTTGACCACCCTACCCTTATAATCTTTTATGCAGAATATTTTGAGAAATCAATTTGCTTAAAAAAATATAATGGTTTCATTTAAAAAATTCAAAGTGACATTAATTTGTTAAAAAAAATTTTTTTATTGCATATTATAGCTTGCGTAAAGTAGATTAAGTTTCACTCTATAAACTTTTTTTTAAACTGGCGAAAATGTCCCAAAAATCGTGGCGACCGTTACGTGAGTCACCCTGTATACTGCATGTATATATATATATAATTTCTCTGAGAATTCTCTCTGATAATTACATACATTTGCATACAAGTTAAAAATATCTATAATTTAAGTGCTATGTACTGTAATTTAACGTGCTATAAAAATCTGTTTAGGAATTAATTGACAAGAAAAATCATTTAAAATCTAATATTATATTTTCCAGCTCCAAATACACTTCAACAAACAAATAAATATAAGTCGGAAAAACGTAAAATTTGCGGTTGGAATGTTCGTAAAACATACATATAATGTTAATAGTTGTACAGGTGTAATAATTGGATGGCACCGACAGGATACAGTACATCTATTACGTGGATCAAAAAAGACACGAAAAAGTTTAATTATTCTAACTTTACAAATGAGCACGTGTGGTTAATGCCGATAAATAAATGTCATTTTTTTCAAAGGAACGAAACATATTACATAATTCTAACGAACAATGACGAACTTTGTTATGTGGGAGAAGGTATGAATATCATAAAAATATGTCTTTATTTAAAATTATATTTGGTTATTCTACCAACTCATGCATCTCCTGGTAGCACAATTTGCCGGGAATTGGACAAAATTACTACACTTGCTCTTGCAAGTCACAGACTTGCAGCAAAATTGCACCGGACGTGCACAAGAGTCTGTCGGTCAGATATAATGCAGCAGAATTGCGCACGCATTTGCTGCAATTCTGTTGCATAATATCTTTACACGCAATCTTCTGCCGTCCGACTTGAATCAGATTCGGAAATATAAAATTTTTTGCTGCATGGTAATTGCGGCAGAATTGTAGCAGAATTGCAAAAAGTTTGCTACCAGGGTCCTTCTGTACATAATATCATATAATATTTTATTATTTTGTTACATTTTTTAACTTATTTATTTCTTAATTATTTCTATTTCTTATTTTATTATCTATATATTATTAATTACGTTGTTTATATCGTAATTATTAAATTTTTATTAAGAATTTTGAAATCTATATAAGTATATATTGAATAGAAATTTGATTTTAACTGACTAAAAGAGTGTAAGCAGATAATAGTGTGTCAGTGATAACAAAATAAATTTTTTGCTGTAAATGAATAATTGTGTTGTGCACATGAATTTTGCTTGATACGATGCTAAGAGTTATTTGGAATTAAACCTCAATTCGAGACTTAAATATCATTTATATGTGCGGCTTCTAATCAATTAAAAAAAATAGATTCTAATTTACATTATAATTTTGAACTGCACTTTGTATTTTAGACGTTTTGAAATTAACAACGCCGCAATGGATAGAGAATAACGAAATAGGTCGTTATTTTCGTGCATTTAACGGCACACATTACGTACCAAATGAAAGGTTGGCAACGATTTATCCTGAAGATGCTGCTATAACTGCCAACGTATATAGGAATTTTTCTTGTTCAACCGGTTGCGCTTCAACTTCCCGTGCTGAGTAAGATATATTTAAAATGTATATCTCGAGAATAGCGAAATAAGTCGTTTCTTCAATTTAAAGGAACACATTACGTGCCAAATAAAAGGATGGCAACAATTTATCCTCATAAATTTGCTATATACAATTTATAAATTTAAGTACTTCTTAAGAAGTTACAATAAAATATATCCATCAATGATAAATTTTTCTTAAAAAATAAAACAATAATTTTTTAAAACTACAAATTCGTTAAAGAAGATGCTTCATTATTTACGATGTCTTTTATATAATCTGTTTCTTCTTCAACCTGGTGTGGTACTGAAGTATCTAAAAAGAGATTTTATCAGCCTCAACAGATTATTTTTTCCCACCGCGCTCCAAATGTTTCATTTGTCGATTGAAGGCAGTTCTATCGTTTTCACACTTCTTACGAATTTTTTGAAATTTTAATTTATTGTAGACGGAGTTAATATCTATCAATTACAAAATTTTGAAGCCGATTCACCGTTTAGTTTAACAATTTATTTATAATTAAAAATAACTTTTGATGGATATTGTAGCGATAGAACTACCTTAAAGCCAAAAAAAAATAACTATGAAAAATAGAGATTTGTCGAATGCCAAAGTTACATGAAACACTTACTTCCAATACGAAAAAAACTACAAAAATAAAAAAAGTACTTATATAACAGTAGTTTTTCGATAATATATTATTGTTATACTAGTAATTTTTTCGTATTCTTGTAGTTTTTTTTCGTAAGAGTTGTCCAGAAATAACACATCCTTGCTTAGAAATTCGACTGCGAAATCGAGCGGCGAAGAATCCGCAGCAAAAGACAGCTTTAATTCAGCCAATTTGGAAGACTAAAATATTTATATCAATCTCAAAAGGAGCGTCAATCATTGTCATCGATTTGCAAAAAATGGATTTTGTTGATAGACCGGCTTTAGACCACGAGAAATTAGAATTTCTCGAGGGAATGCAACAATAAAGGAGACGTCTAGAGAATTGTTAGACAAATGAGAAAATTGTGTAGATTACGAAAGAGAAAGTTATGAAATGAAGATTATATATTAAATTATAACAGAAAGACAATTTTATTTTAAAATAAAACAAGAATATCGTTTTTTTTTAGAGAAATATGTAGAGAATTTAAAAAATGCTTAAAAATGAAAATAATGTTTTATAAAAAATTATGCTAAAAAGTGTTTAAAGATGATTGCCCCCCCCCCTCTTCCCCCCCCCCCCCTCGACTCTTCAAGAAATCTATCGTCATCAAGAAATTTATCGCGCTATTTTCAAGAACTTTTTTTAATATAAAAATAATTATTACAAATTATTAAAATCTATAGAGTGATACAAAGGGATATTTAAAAAAAAATATATCTCAAGTTTTAAAGATACAGTATAAATTTTAAACTCCAAAGACGCATAGAATGGAGAAATGTAATCTGCATCGTTTTTTCCTACATTTTATGCAGAATGCATTTTTTTTCTATATTCGCAGGAAAATGCAGGAGAAATACAGAACCTTTAAGCAAATGTCCAAAATAAACCCAGGTAAAAACGACCCTTCCATGGGCGCCCGCAGGATTCTTTCCAGGAGGAAGCATTTTAAATTTAAAAAATTTCTTGTCCTTAATTCTTTTAAATTTTATTTTTTTATTTTCATTCTTTTATATTAAATATGCAAATAAATTTTAGTAGTAATTAGTGTTGTCAAAAGAAGAGCAAATGCTTAATTTTTTAAAATGTTTAATTCCAAGGCAAAAGTCCTTTTTGCTCTCTTATGCGTACGCCCATGGACCCAATCCTATTTTTAGAACTAACGATTCGATTTTGTACCCTTACCAATGGGAGTAGTGTGGGGCGAAGGCAACTGCAGGTTGTAGAAAAATTTATGGTCTCAGTGTCATGGTCTCAAGGTCAGTGTCTCAGTAGTTTTTCTTCTGAAATGACATTTTTTGTTAGATTATTGTAAATGCACTAAAAATCGTGGCGATTGTTACGAGGACCACCTTTATAACATTAAAATATAAAATATATCGTAAACTATTCACTTTTTGACTACCTTATCCTTATAATTTTTTATGCTGAATATTGTGAGAAATCAATTTACTTAAAAAAATATAATGGTTTCATTTAAAAAATTCAAAGTGACATTAATTTGTTAAAAAAATTTTTTTGTAAATTTTATTATTGCATATTATAGCTTGCGTAAAGTAGATAAAGTTTCACTGCATAAACTTTTTTTTAAACTGGCGGAAATGTCCCAAAAATCGTGGCGACCGTTACGTGAGTCACCCTGTATACTGCATGTATATATATATATATATATATATATATATATATATATAATTTCTCTGAGAATTCTCTCTGATAATTACATACATTTACATACAAGTTAAAAATATGTATAATTAAGTGTTATGTACTGTAATTTGTGGTTGTGTAACGTGTGGTTAATGCCGATAAATTACTGTCGTAATTATCAAAAGCACGAAATATTTTACATAATTCTAAACAACAATAACGAACTTTGTTATATGGGAGAAGGTATGAATATCATTTAAATATGTCTTTATCTAAGTAACTCTGTATCTTTTTTTAAATTTATACCGTTTTCTTGTTCTATTATATCCCATACAGCACCGTTAGATTGCAAAAACATTACAACAATCTTTCACCGCAATATTGCAATATTGCAAATTCACTGCAAAATGTTGCTACATCATTGCTGTTGAATTGCAGCAATGTTAAAATGTCCGCTTTTTGGAAGATAATAAAATTATTGATTATCGTTAACATCTTTTATTGTACAATATTGCAAAAAATTATTTTATTACAGTATTATACCCAGCAAATACCAAGTTACAGTTATATAATTGTTAGTTGTAATTTTCCACTCAACAATATAATTGTTATAATACACGTATTATATTTTTGAGTGGGAAATTACAACTAACAATTATATAGCTGTAACTTGGTGTTTGCTGGGTATATGTATATATATTACAATATATAAATTATAGAATTTGGATTACATGCAATATTTCCGAATATTAATGTCATGTTGCTACAAGTGTGCTGAAAATTTTGTGCACCTATATCTCTACAATGTCTTTATAATGTTGCATTGCAAATTGCAACATTGCAACGTTGCTGCAATATAATTGCAATAATCTGTGCTGTATGGGATGTAGCATTTCGGAAATCAATCTTTTTTGGTAATTTATTTCATGATCTAAAATTTTAACTTTATTCCAATTGAATTGTATGCTGTTCCCTAATTCTATGTTCAGAGATAACAGAGTGTCTCTTTGAAACCAATTTGATGTTATTCATATGTTGTTTTATCCTTGTCTGTAATTGTCTCTTTGTCTGACCCACGTATGTTGCATTGCAATCTTTGCAACTGATCTTGTAAACCACATTGGAATTATGTGAGACTTGATTCTTATCTTTATGAGTTTTTATGATTTTATTGAGTTTGTTTAAACATCGATATCCTATCGTTGTATTAGATTTATTTATCGAAGAGACAAACATTTCTGAAATCTTGTAGATATAGGGAATAACTATAATTCTTTTTTTTGTTTCTTCTTTTTTTCCCCGTTATTAATTTGTGTTGTTTTATGTTTATATTTGTCCAACATAATTCCATTGGAAATGAGATGTTTAATTCGGTGATTAATGCTGCTGAATATCATATCAAGAGGATAACCGTTACTTGAGAATATATTGACCACTAAGTCAAAATTCTGGCTATAAAATTGTGGGTGTGATAGAATCAAACACCTGTCTGTTAAATTGTATATTATTCTGACTTTTTGGCAATAAGGATGATTGGAAAAATAAGATAAAACTCTGCCTGAAAACGTTAAAAATATGGATGAATAAAGTCTATATTAACAAAAAGAATATTACAAGTTATCCTCGAGCGATTCTCTCCTACCAAAAGCCTATGGACTGCCGAAAATCCATAAAGAAAACACCCCTTTCAGAATCATAGTTTCCTCAATCAACACAACATTACATTTATTAGCATCCTTTATACATAAAATTCTACATTCCAGTCTCCCACGGGCAAAGAACCATATTAGCAATAGTTTTGAAATGTGCAGTATCCTATCGGGGAAAATGATCGATGATGATGAGGAAAATTTTATTGCTATATTATAATGCAATCACATAGTTCCTTTATTTACCGCTATGCGCTGCAAACTGAGCTATCTATCTCGCTATTAAGTTTTAGTCAGAGAATTATATAAAAATATAAAGCATGCAAAAAGTAACTATTACAATCAATCATTTTTATCAGTTTAATTATTTTGATACAATCCCAACAGATTAAATTGATTATTTAAAAACTGGACAAATAAATGAAGAAAATGAAAAATAAGAAATATTGTGCAATATTTCATAAATGTTATATTAACGTTGCAAAAAATATTTTACAGCATTGCAAAAATTATTGCTCAATATGCGATTTAAAACAAACTCTAAAATAAACGGTTTCTTAAACGTTTTTAAGTGGAAATTTTATCCAATTAATAAACGTTTCTGAGAACTGGTTATGAAACGTTTCTAAAACGAATTACTGTACTATTTGAGAAGTTTCCTTTTCTTTTGTAGACCTTTTAAATCTTAGGGTTTTGTTCAAAATGACAAATGTACAGTTGAAATATGTTTAGGAAACCCTGTACGTACATACATATATAGGGTGTCCCAAAAGTCTGGAAACGGTTGAATATTTCCTATTCCTATACAATGCATTTTTACTCTCTACCCTTCCACAGATCTGAACGTATAACAATACAACTGAATGAAAATATTCTCGTCTTATGAGTTTCTTTTTGCTAAAGTTACATAAAACATCGAAATTGCACATTAAAAAAATATTTAATTACATTAAAAATAATAATAAAAAGAGAACAT